CTCACAACCTTGCGTTTGCCAGGCAGGCGCTTTGCCGCTGAGCTAAATCCCCAGCCCCTAGGTGCTTCTGTGTGTTATTTCATCCAGTGCTCACAGCCACCTCGGTAGACGGGTACCATGACGATCCCCTTGTACAGATAAAGAACCAAGGTTAGGGATGTACCTGTTGTCACACTGCTGGGATTTAAACTCAACACTGTCAAACTCCAGAGCTCATGCTGTTAACTCCTGGGTGCACTGATTTCTCAGACTCTAACTCCCTGCATGATTTCTACCAAATCTGCCCACTTCGTTGGACAGAGGCCTAGTAGAATTGTTTCTGAAGCCAGTGCTGGGCCTGGGCCTGGGCCTGCCACTGGGTGTTATGAGCTGGCTGATGGCCTCACTCACGTGCTAGAGGTTATAAACTGCCCGCAAAATAAACATTCAAGCTCTATCTCTATGGCAGGTGATTGGGAGCCCCAAGCAATGGTACAGTAATCTCACCTTGGCAGGTACAAGGCTCAATTTGAATTTAATCAGTAACCCATGGAAAGTAGCTTGAGACACATGCACCCATCCAAGGCAGCCTGGGCTATCTTGTCTCTATACACCTCCAGACATTATGTATATGTAATTTGACACCCTACCTTGTTGCTTAACAAAGTACATCTGGCAAAGATATTATAGAAAATGTCAAATAATATAGTATACATTACATAGGTTTAATTTATATATTCCTGGGTTTTAAAATAGATTTTTTTTTTTTTTAACAATTTACCTTGTTTATTTTGTTTTCATTTTGTCTTTCTGAGACAGGGTCTCACTACGCAGTTCAGGCTGGCCTTGAGCTCACTTTGTAGCCCAGGCTGGTCTCAAACGATCCTCCTTCCTCAGCCTCCCGAGTGCTGGGACTACAGGTGTGACCCACCATGTTTGGTGCAGCTTGTAAGATTTTGTTATTGCTGCTTTTTCCTTTCTGAAAAGCAATTGGGAAGTACATCATCTGCATACCTAGGCCAGTGTATCCAGTGTTTTCATTTCTAGGATTCAATCAGATGGAAATAATCAAGAATGCTTGCAAAAATGTAAGTTTAAGGATGTTCACAGCAGCATTATTTATATAGCCATAAGTTAGAAGCCATCAAGTCACTCACTGTAAACCATTAACTATCTAAAACTCAATGGAATATTTTCTACTGAGCCATTAAAGACCACATGTAGAAAACAGACAAATTCATGTGGAGGGACACAACATAAAACAACAGGCCTGTCCTCTCACAAAGGTCTTTGTCTTGAATGGCAATGAGGACTGGGGAACTCTGCCAGATTAAAGAAAACTAAGAGGCACAACTTTTAAAAAAATTAGGTTCATTTGGAAAATCATCATATGTGATTTTCCAACCACGGCTACACAGTGAGTTCAAAACCAACCTGTACTACCTAGTGAGACCTTGTCTCAAAAAACCAAAAATAAAATTAAAAAAATCAAACTTTGGTGAAGGTACACTTATGCTATTCTTGGAACTCTTTTGTAAGGTTAAAATGGTCAAAAACAAAGGTGTAAATATGTATCTGAAATTTGGTTATGTGGGAAAATGCTTGTGCCGAAGTGAGTAGAAACATTAGGACACACAAGGACACGGTCAGCATGATGTCTCAAGCATGCGTAACACTTAAAATGTGTATCAGAAGGAACTAGGCGCACAGCGTTACCAGTGGCACATGTTTCTGAGACTCTTTTTATGATTTTCATACTGCTCTGAAGGGCCAGGGATATAGCTCAGTGGCACAGGTGCCTGCCTGGCAAGTGCAAGGTCCTGAATTCTACTCCTGGTACAAAAAAAAAAAAAAAAAAAACCTTCATACTGCTCTGTAGCTTCCTTTTTCAAAATCTGGGGAAAACTGCACTATTAGAGGAAAATCATACATTTTTATAAATGACATAAACAACTGACTCCATCTGCAAACACTCTCACATACCAGCCTGACATTTCACATCCGTGGAATTCGAAGATAAGGCATCTAATCTAAGAAGATTAAATTCTGTTTACAGCAGCAATATTACATTGGTAAATTTCACAACATATTTGGAATAATTTCCTGCCCGAACCACAGAACAGCAGGGTTGGACCACAAGACTGGTGTCTCTCCGCAGTGGCACGCCAAGCCTCCACCAGAATCTTCTCAAGAATTTCAGCCTCATAACTGTGCCTGTATTCAAGCACATATTCTTCTCTGTCATTTCTTATCATCATGTATGATGTGTGTGTGTATAATTTTTTCCTGAACCACTGTCTCTTGCTGACATAATGACCCATTATTTCCCATACATTGGTGGACATTTACTAAAATAAGGACATTTTTCTTCCTAATCACAATCCAATCTCAAAATTGGATCTCACAATCTCAAAAATAATCTCACAATTACTATTGATAGAATTTTACCACCTAAATCAGATCCAGTACAAATTTTAAAAGTTGTCGCAGCTGGGCATGCTGGCACATGCCTGTAATCCCGGCACTCAGGAGGCTGAGGCAGGAGAATCAATGTGAGTTCGAGATCAGCCTGGGCTACAAAGTGAGCTCAAGGCCAGCCTGAACTGCACAGCGAGACCCTGTCTTAAAAAGACAAAAAAAAAAGTTGTTCCAGTGATGTTCTGACCAAGGAAATGACCCATTCAGCCATACAGCGGTGCACACCTGTAATCCCAGCAGCCTGGGAGACTGAAGCACAAGGATCTCAAGTTTAATTTTCACCTGGGCAATTTAACAACTTACCAAGACCCTGTCCCAAAATAAAAAAATAAAAGGGGCCTGGGATGTAGCTTCTTATGAAGCTCTGGGCTCAATTTCCAGTACCAGAAAAAAA